TAATATGTACAAGAGAAAGTTTGTAGTATATTACACCATAATATGTACAAGAGAAAGTCTGTAGTATACTACACCGTAATATGTACAAGAGAAAGTTTGTAGTAGACTAGACCATAATATGCCTGCCTTTCTATAAGCATATTACAAAAACAAGACAAACAACCATGGGATTTTGGTGAAATGTGAGAAAAATATGATGGAGCTCTACAGCTCAAACAGACTTCACAGTAAAAATAAAGCTCAAAGTTTAAACACGTCACAACTCACAAATACTTGGACTTTATATCAGTTTATTTTTTATACATCTTTCTTGGTTTTTACGTAATCACAGTTGAAATTTTTTAATTTTTGAAAATTTTAGCTCAAGCTAGAAGAGTGATAATGACACACACTTAATTTTGAGCCGTCTAAACTTTCCAAACTTTCGCTAACACTTTTCACTGCAACACTCTGTACTAAAAAACTTGTGCATTTTTTGCCTTGTTTGACCTTGTGGGTATCTCATAGTAAAAGGTCATACAATTTCATATCTCCTCTTCGTACGTAATTTGCACACCCAAAGTGCCATTGGCTGCCATTGTACTTGAGCTCAGAATTTTCTCTTCAAAACTGGAAGTATCAATACAGGCCACACAGAACCAAAAACAGGCCTGAGGTCCAGAAGCAGCTTTTTGCCATCTCAGTTCAGCCCTTGTTGTCCTCATACAAAAATAAAAAAAGACTTGAAACAAATGTTTAACAAGCGGTATGCCGATGTTTTTCATCACTGAGGGATTTGAATAGTGAATGTTTGTAGTTTTCAAGATGAGTGTTTTTCTGGGCTGGAATTGAACAGGGAATGAAAGTAAACAATGTTTTGATGCAAGATATTCAAGTGGGGAGGATCTAACAAGGTTAAGTCAGGTCATCTGGACAAATTCTTCTGATGATCTGACTTAACCTTGCTAGATTTTTCTACCTGGATTATTGAGCATACATCAGAACAAGTGGGGAGGAGTTACAATGAGGAGAATAATAGAGGTATACTTTTTTGTTTTTGGCAGTGCAACGTGGCAGATACTTGCAAGTGAAGGGAGCAATTTTATCCACCACCTGGTACAATGGCAGAGCCAGGGGGTGACCAAAGGTGGCTTTGGCCACCATAGAATAATCTTCAGCCACCTCAAGGGCAAACCCAATCATTTGAGGAAATTATACTTTCAAGTAATCCATCCATCCATCCATTTTCTTTACCCGCTTATTCCATTTTGGGTCACGGGGGTCGCTGGTGCCCATGTCCAGCAATCACTGTGCGAGGGGCGGGGTACACCCTGGACGGGTCGCAAGTCCATCACAGGGACACATAGAGACAAACGAGACAAACAACCATTCACTCTCTCACTCGCACCTAGGGACAATTTAGAGTTACCAATCAGCCTAACATGCATGTTTTTGGTCTGTGGGAGGAAACCGGAGCACCCGGAGAAAACACACTCATGCACCCAAAAAAAGAAAAAAAGAAATTTAAGTATAAAAAGAAAAAGTATACAAGCCCCCCCCCCCCCACCCGATAAATGAAAAATCTTGATGTAGGGATAAATTAGTCCAAGTTCAAGTTCAAGTAAACTTTATTGTCATTACCATCTCATAAGATTCATGAGATGGAACAAAATTATGTACACAAATAGTAGTAGTAGTAGTAGTAGTAGTTTATTTTAGTATTTACTGTAACAGTAATGAGTAGTAGTTTATTTTAGTATTTATATACAGGTATATATTGGCAGTCTGAAAGAGAGATAATTATAAAGCTGGTCTTGTCCTTCACGTCTAAACGTACAAGTCACTTTTTTCAAAAGAGATAAAACCAAGTTTTGGAAAGAGATCTCTATACAGCATAATGTTCTCTTGATTCACATTTGTCCTCCTCACTTCACCTGTTTTACCGATAACATTATGCTGACTCAGGATGGGTATATATTTACACAGAGACAAACAGGTATTACTTATCATGTGTCAAACTCAAGGCCTGGGGGCCAAATGTTGCCCTCGTTAACATCTTATCTGGCCCCCAAGATGATATTTTAAATGTAAAATACTTTTATCACTTTAATTTTTTCAGTAATCTTTGATTATGTCAAAAGTGCAACAGAGAACATCAAATGAGACCAATCAAACTTTTGTTGAGGAACCTGCAACCAAGAAAAGATGTCGAGTATCTAACATGAGTTAATGTAGATTCTGAAACTGGCCCTTAGTTTGAAAAAGGTTTTAGTTTTGGCCCCCTTTTGTAAGTGGGTTTGACACCCCTGACTTAAATGAATGGTAAATGAACTGTACTGTATTTATATTGCACTTTTCTATCTTATCAAGATACTCAAAGCTCTTTACAACACAATCTGTGCCTCATTTACCCATTCATACAGCACTATACTAGATCTATACAAAGACTAATCAGAGTTTTATCACATTCATACACTGATGGGACACACATCAGAGGCAATGAGGGGTTCAGTGTCTTGCCCAGGGACACTTCAGCATGTGAATGCTGGTGGAATCAAACCCCCAACTCTTGCATTGGCGGACGACTGCTCTAACCACTCAGCCACTGCCGTCCCCAACCACAGACTTAGATATTAACATTTTTACTCACCTTTGTGGAACACATTGTGCCCAGGTCACCTGACCTCACTGTGTTCACCAGAAGACCTACAGAACAACCACATACACAAATATCCACACTTAGGACTCAGCATCTTAAAACTACAACTTTAAAAATAGCACTTAGTATCGCATATTATGACTTAACAACTCGACGATAAGAGAGTTTCTAAGATAGGTCTAAACATGCAAATATGACGTAGCAGCTCAAAATTATGATTTAGCATCTGTAAATTAGGGCTTAGAATTTTTAGATTAGAACTTAGTGTCTCATAAACATTACCAAGAATCTTTTAATTATGCCTTTGCATCTCACAATTATAATTTAGGATCTCATAATAATGACTTATGTTATAATTATGATTTAGCATCTCGTGATTATGATTTAGCATGTCATAATTGTGATTTAGCATGCCATAATTATAATT